TAGATTTTCAATATCTGAGCTTTTTTTTTACAGTACCTCGTGGAACTTACATTTAATTTGTTATATTCACTGGAATTGAAAACTAGTCTCAGTAGTAGTGACTATAAAGCTATTAACAATTGTTGTAAAAATCCATCTGGTTCATTAAGGTATTTTAGAGAAGGGAATCTGCCATGTTTTACCTGGTCTGGCCTACATGTGACTCCAGACCCACAGCACTGCGTTTGACACTTAACCACCCTCTGAAATGGTTTAGTCTGCCATTCAGCTCAAGGGAAATTAGAGATAGGCAATAAATGTTGGCTTTGCTGGTATTGCCTCCGTGAAATAATAAATTTAAAGAAAAAAGATCAGTCAAGAAAATGATTGATATATGGCTATTGTACATTATTATTTAAGATTAGTACTCTTTGTTAACTGCTGTCCCAGATGGCGTGCAGTTTTGCTGTTTACTGGAGTCTTGTCATCAATTCAGTATTGCATCTGTTGTCACTGAAATCCCTGTGCCACGTTAATGTCTGCACTTTGAGTCCAAAATCCTATCCGAATATGTCTGCTTCAATTTCTTCAACAGATTATGATTTGTGAGTTATGTTCGTGCTGTGTTTACACAAATCAAATGTCTAGCTGTTGGAGGACATTGATAATCTGTTATCCAGTTTGTGCCAAAAAGTGATTTACACTGCATCTGTATTAAATTTTTTAAAAGATGTTCTCATTTTCATAAAACCCACAGAAGCTTGATTATAATTCATGACAGTCCTATCAATGGCCAGCTGATACAATTCACTGTTTAACATTAATGCCTGTGGTTATTACTGCTGATCATTCTCAGAGTAGGTTTGCTAATGGGCTATAATTATCAAACCATACATGCATGGTTCTAGGACAGTGATTCCATTTTGGTGATCAGCTGCTGCCAAGACATTTTTGATGACCTGAGCACAATATACTTTTACGAACAATTGTTTGACTTTAATATCACTGACAGACTGTTGCTGTGGAAGAAAAATTTATATGAAATGGATACTTTGAAAACTAAAGTCAGAGTGAGGCATGACTCTGTAAAAAATCATTGAATTTGTTCCAAAATTACTAAAACCTGGCAGAAAATCACTTTCAAATCCCTTTAGGATTGCATTGTAATTTTGAAATTTATTTCTTTCATTTACTCTGGAGACACTATTGATCATTAATGTCAGCATCAATAAAATTATAGCTATCAACATTTTAAATCTAGCACTGGATCGATTGACCAATGATCCTGCAAAATACTAGATGCGTGAAGGAGAAGTAGTGTTAAAGCATAGGAGCCAGTGAATCCTTAGTAACATGCTATTTAATTCCGTTTGTAAATTCTTGATAAATAGGCATTGCTTCTTTGTTAATATTGAAAGATTTTTAGTCACAGGAGCCCAAATTTCACTTTTTAAAAATTGTTTCATCATACCCACTGCCAGGATGGAACAGAAAGAATATCGTATGTGGATCTAAATGACTTTAACACCAAATGTTGAAATTGCAAAATATCTGCTTTGTGTTTACAAAAGATTAAACACAGAAAGTACCTAATGCTCTAAATGAGCATGATAATATACAATTTGGCCTTAAACAGCAGCCCTGGTTACTGTAGATAGAAAATACTGTAGTATGTAAATTGTAGTCAACGGTCAGAAGTAATGTAAATAGTGAAGAGGGAACCAAAATACATTTTATTGTGTCCTGTTAATGCTATTGAATATTAAGTTTTGATGCCATCAAAAGGTTCCAGGCTCAGTAATTATACACTGCTGTTACAATTGGACAGTTTTATTAATTTTGGAAAATTCATGGTTACCCTTGACTGGTGGGGTGAAGCATGTGTATTTGTGTATTTATGCCTTCCTGCATTTTGTTGTATTTCTTTTGTATTAAACTGTCTGCAAATTTTGAAATTGTGCTTTCAAATCTTGAATCCAAATCTTTAATGTAAATTATGAACAACAGTAGTCCCAGCACTGATCCCTATGGAACACTACCCACTTTTTGTCAATCTAAGCGTCTATCCCTAACCAATACTCTCTGTTTTCTGTTTTGTAGCCAATTTGCTATCCATTCTGCCGCTTGTCCCATGATTCCATGTGCTTAATTTTATTTATGTCCCAGGCCTTCATTCTGACTTGCCATGTGGAGCTGTATCAAAGATACTTTGAAAATGCAAATATACTTTCTTTAAATTCGTTAACGGGATGAGGGCGTCTCTGCTTGGGCAGCATTTATTGCCCATACAACAGTTAAGAGTTAATCACATTGCTGTGGGTCTGGAGTCACATATAGACCAGATCATGAAAGGAAGACAGTTTCCTTCCCTAAAGGATATTAGTGAACCAGATGGGGTTTTCCCCCAAAAATCAACAATGGATTCATGGTCATCACTAGATTCTTAATTCCAGATGTTTTATTGAATTCAAATTCCACCATCTAGTGTGACAGGGTTTGAACCCATGTCCCCAGAATGTTATCTGGGTCTCTAGATTAACAGTCCAGTGATAATATCACTAGGCCATCACCGTCCACCTTGAATACGCTGCATTACATTTAACATATTATCCTCTTTCTGATATTTCTTCAAAGCATTCAAGAGATTGGTCAAGAATGTTTATAATGTTTATGTTATCTCTTTCCTAACTCCTATTAATATGCACATTGAAATCTATCTGAGCCAATGGGGTTTATCCTCCGTTTCAGTCTCAAATGTCTTGGTATATATTTAAATCTTTTCTAATGTCATGGCTACCTTGTTAATTTTATTGGTAAATACATAGACAAAGTGAGACTTCAATGATTTTGCTATTTTGCTGTAATTGCCTGTGAATTTATCTTGCATATCCTTCAATGACTGAATCCTCAATGTTCCTTCAGAGTTGCACAATGACACAGCACCTCAGAATGTAGCAAGCAGTGCAATGGACAGGCCCTGCAGAACAAAAGATCATTGCCCATTCCAAATTGAGTTTATTTTATCATTATGCCTGTAAAATAATTATAGAAACAAGAAGGATTTATGAAATTAAATTATCAAGGAAATATGAAATATAGAGCAGATTATTTTTACTTCATTGCTAATCTCTTCATATTCCTTTTTTCTCTTGCTCTCCTTTATCACCTGTATTATTATTGATGCCTTTTTCTTTAGTTGTAATTATCCCTTTTTCTCTTTCTTCATCCCTGGTTGGTACCAGCTAGCTTGATCCTTTTTTTTTTAAGACCAGTATATTTCTCTTGGATCTGATTGATCATTGTTTCAAATATATTTCATTGCTATTCTTTTCCTTTTCCATCTTTTCCGCAATTTATCTTGTCTGGTTACATCTTGGTCCCTCAAAATTATTATTTTTCCAATCTATAAGGGTTTTTTTTGCTCGACTGACACCCTTTTGAATTATTATTTTAAACCTTATTATATTATGGTCATTGTGGCCTTGATGTTTCCATATGCAGACTTTCCTAATTCACTCTAATTAATTTCCTATTTTGAACTCCAGTGACGATACTGGATTACTGAAATGCTTATGTCCTGCTTAAGAAACGAGGCATTAACTCCATTCCCTATTCTTTCTTCTTCAATCTTTCCTAGCCAGTTTATTTCGTGAAAATCTTTCTTTAATATTATTATTCTATGTGGTTTACTGCTTCCATCGATTTGCCTATGAATTTTTTTTTCACTCCCCTACTTCCCTTCCACTGTTACATGGTTACAGTTGGGCAGACAAAGGAGTTGCTAATGATCAGGCTGGGAGGGTGAGTCGTTGTTAATGGGGAGTCATTCATTCACAATTCACCCTCCCAGCCTGATCATTAGCAACCCCTTTGTCTGTCCAACTGTCTTTCTCTCTCTTTGGGCTCTATCCTATCGTTTACTCCCTACCCTACCCACCTCCCTGTTTTCTGCATATAAACTGACGTTTCCCAGCCAGCATCAGTTCTGAGGAAGGGTCACCGGACCCGAAACGTTAACTCTGTTTTCTCCTTCACAGATGCTGCCAGACCTGCTGAGCTTTTCCAGCAACTTTGTTTTTGTCCCCAGATCATTACTTGTGTGTTTGACTTGGTAGTACCACAAGGTCATTGCCTCCCCTTCTATCTTAATATTAGTTATGTCCCTTTTTTTTACTAGCATTGTGTCACCTTCAATCAATATAACTTGCCCACCCTCCCATCTTCCTTTTCTATTTCTTTCAATGTAGGCCAAGTGCTGGAAAATGGAATTAGAATAGATTGAGACAATACTGTGCGGAGCTGGAGGAACACAGTAGGTCAGGTAGCATCAGAGGAGCAGGAAAATTGGTGTTTCGGGTCAGGACCCTTCTTCTGAAGAAGGGTCCTGATCCAAAATGTCAACTTTCCTTCTCCTCTGATGCTGCCTGGCCTACTGTGTTCCTCCAGCTCCACATGGTATTGTCTTTGACTTCAGCATCTGCCGTTTTTGCTATCTCTTAGAATAGATAAATATGTGATGACTAGTGCAGACATGATGGGCTTAAGAGCCTTTATTAGTGCTGTAAAAACTCAATGATTCTATTTAACTGCCAGTTTGTTTCTTTCTTAAACCATATCTTCATGACCTAGACTGCATCTGGCTATTCATTATGAATTATTACCTCCAATTCCCTGCAATTTAATTTGTGCTCATTGATTGCTTCCTTTGCTTTATTTTTAGCAGTCATTACATACTTATATCTCATAATTGTAAGTGTTCCCTGACCGTTTACGTTACCACTTTTGTTTAGCTTGGCCTGACTTTAACTCTCATCTTCTCCTTTTATTTGCAGGTTGCCTGATTTCTGGTGGCCCCTTCTCCAAATTATTTATGTCCTGTGGGTTTGACATGAAACTCGAACTCTAAAGCAGAATACTAGATGATTAAAGCATGTTTTGAGAAGATAACAATATTGTTTAAGTATTACTTAAGATGATCAATGTCTAATTGATGATTAATTTATAATTTTATTTTTTCGTAGGGCAAAACTGTTCCGTGGGAAAAAAGTCCATGGAGAATATGATATCAGAGTGGAACAGGTTGGTTTCTTTTTTCTCTAGTTTCAAAGCTGTTCTTGAGTACCGTGCAGCATATGTGGGATGTGTTTAATGTTTCTGTATAATAGTCTAACCTCCTGCAGTAAAATGCTAACCTGCATGGGTGATAAGTTGGCACTTAATAGAATTCCATTTTTGGCATTTTCTTGCTATTTAGTACATTGATTAAGCATCTATCCCTTATACCACTGGATTGAATAGTAAAGATTGAGGAGCCATCATTTGTAAATAGCAATTTTCCATACTAGGTGGCAATAAACAATAGTGTTTGGGGATCAACAGTCGGAACTCAAATAACGACAATTTCCTTCAAGTGCCAGCACAATGGAAAATGAAAATAACATTACATTTAGTTTGTTTAAATGCAAATAATCTTGATACTATGCCAAACAAATAATGAATGAGGTGTAAAATCTGTCAATCCTTATACAAGTTACCTAGTTTTAGATGTTTGTTTTGGTAATTTCATAACACAGTCTTGTTTTCTTCATATGACTTCATTAACCTTTCTACAAAACAGCAAACTTTGATATCAAAAAAACAGGACAATAGGCCAGTAATAATTGCCAGTGATATCAATCAAAAATGTTTAATTAGTTCACGTGGTATTCTTCTGTGTGTCAGTTTATCTGAAACATTAATCTGTTTACTCATAAACATTTTATAAAAATATTTTTGACTTCTCAGCTAATATCAATAATAGTAATTTCTGACTTAATATCTCACACAAGGAGCTCAAGGTTGTCTTTGTTTATTTCTGATTTCACCCTTCCATGTTTTTCAGCCACAACACCCAGAGTTCTTTTATGACATGGGCTGCTTTTAGCACAGCTAACCCATTTCCACTGCTCTCAGACCGTTACATCACATTACATAGAGACATACAGCACAGAAACAAAATCTTCAATCCAACCAGTCCATGTCAACCATAATCTCAAACTAAATTAGTCCCACCTCTCTGTGCTTGGCCCACAATCCTCCAAACCTTTCTTATTCATGTACTTATCCAAATGTCTTTTAAACCTTGTAACTGTACCCGTATCCACCACTTCCTCTGGAAGTTCATTCTACGCGTGAACCATTCTCTGTGTAAAACAGTTGCCCCTCATGTCTTTTTTCAATCTTTCTCCTCTCACCTTAAGTATATGCCCTCTAGCCTTAAAATCCCCCACCCTAGGGAAAGACACCTGCCTTCACCTTATCTATACCCCTCATGAATTTATAAACATTATAAGGTTACCCATCCTATGCTCCAGTTAAAAGGTTCCAGCCTATCCAGCCTCTTATAACTCAAACCTTTCATTCCCAGCAACATTCTGGTAAATATTTCTGAACCCTCTCCACCTTAATAATATCCTTCCTATAACAGGGCAACCAGAACTGGACATAGTACTCCAGAAGAGGCCTTATCAATATTGCGTACAACCTCAACGTGATGTCCCAACTCCTATACTCAAAGGTTTGAACAATGAAGGCAAGTGTGCTAAATGCCTTCTTAACCACCCTGTCTACATGTGATGCAAACTTCAAAGAATTATGTATCTGAATCTCTAGGTGTCTCTGTTCTACAACATACCCAAAGCCCTACTTTTATTTGTATACATTCTGACCTTGTTTGTTTTCCCAAAATGCCATGCTACATTCATTTCTCATTATCACTTATTCAGCTTCTCTTCTGTCCTAGCCTGACACCCACAATCCCCTTGTTAACCTCTCCCTTTCATTTCTCTTTCTCTCTGGGCTCCATCTCCACCTATCCACTCACTTCTCCCTTCCTGCCTACCCCAACTTCATCTTCAGCATAAATACCAATCTTTCCTAGATGCTATAAGTTCTGAAATGAGTCAAACGACTCAAAATGTTAACTCTGCTTTCTTCACACAGATGCTGCCAGGCCTGCTCAGTTTCACCAGCAACTTCTGATTTCCTTTTAATTCTTAGTATTGAGAGTTTGACAGCTGCTTTCTTGAATATTCTGAAAACTGGCTTAAACTTTCCTAGTTTCAAATAACTCCTTTAGAATTCTAACCAAACACTTCTGGTCTGGAATTTTCAAAATAAAATCCTTTCTCTGAAGTAACCTATTTCCTAACTGTTCTGAATTAACTCCTATCTTTCTGAAAATTGTTCTTACATCTGAGTCCATGCCACCTGCAATCTGAAACCAAAAGCTTTCCAATCTATGTGTTTCCCTAAACAAAAAATCAGTTTTTGGTTTTTTCAAAATTTGCTCTCTCCAACTGTAAAGCTTTCACAATACAACCAAACTCACATTATCACTCAAAGAGCGCCCCGGTCACCTACTGTCTCATACATACTCATTTGACATCATACTTCTGGAAAGACTGGCAAGTTTACTGTTAAACCTTTACGCAACTTAGATCAAAATCTGAATACGATTAATATAAAATCCAAGCTCTAAAATAAATGCATTAATGTATGTATAAATGTACAAATCACCATACCTTAGATGACAGCGGGAAAGCCACATGTCCTCTGTTTAATCTCCAAGGCACCACTAAATTGGAGTGAGGCCAGTAATGATAGATGTTAATTGGTTCATTAATGAACAAAACTATTTCCCACAGCTGACAGCCAGCTGGCTGGGCTTTAGCACTGTCTTAAACACACAATATTTAGCCACTGCTGGGAGACTGGCCCAGGTCTCACCATGATTAAGTAGGCCTAGCCACTGTATTTTCCATTGTGACAGGCAGCATTATATCCAGTCACCATCAATATTAACAGGCTTTCTCAAATTGACATATGTCACTGCTCACTGAACCTAGAGATTACTGTTGCTGGTTTTCATTAAAATGTACCTTCAACATTTCAGAGATATTCCCCCTTCCCGTTTAAAGTAATGAATATAATACAAGAAAATAATACGATGGGAATGTCATATTTAGGTATCAAGTATTTCATGGGTAACAGCAGTCATTTCTTGCTCGTATATTTGAATATTGCCTACACCTGTAAAAACATACTAAATAAAAGATTAAATATAAGTTCATTCTATTTTGGGGTATCAGTCCTATAGGATTATGGAAACTATGAGCCACACAAGGTTTTCCAACACACGTCGTTGGAGGTGAAATTATTCCCATCAGTAATTTTAGTGAGGGGGTTGAGACAAGTAGCAAATGGAACTTCTTTGCTAATATTATTTGGCAGCAGGAATCCCATTCCCTTGGTGTTTTGAGAGTTATTAGGTCTTCATCATTTTGGAAATGATCAAAACTACCTGCGGGTTCCAATAATCAGTAGTCTGTGCATCCTCTGGAGGCAGGAAGATAATGAAATTCATTCCATACCCTGTAATTCTGAATACTATTATAAAACATTATCTTCTTGGGGCTATCATACACTACAAATTGGAAGGAAAGAAGGTGTCAATATAACTGATTTGCTTTTTTATCACCAAATAATGTAATATGCTGTACTCAGGAGAGTGATGGTATGATGGTAGCCTGTCTTGCTGCTATAGTGATTGGAACAATGTCAGCCAGGTGGGGATGTTAATCTGGTCCAATCAGAGAGCCCTGGCTGACAGATAAAAACAGGAGTGTCAGAGGTTCTGTTCTCTCTGAGACCTGGCTCTGAGGAAGCCGCACCAGTATCAAGTACAGTGCATGCTTAAATAAAGGGTGACTTGGTGACAGGATATCGGCCTGTGTAGAATTACTTCAGTGGTGACGAGTTCAAAAAAATACGCTCCTGAAGAAATGCGCTCACAACAGTCGTCTTTGAGTTGGGATAAGCATTTCTGGCGTCACGCTGTTATTTGGGAAGCTTGATGCATTTGATCCTGCCATCAAAGGTTGGGCCCAGTATGTGGAAATAATGCATTATTTTTTTCTGGGCAAATGACATTGCAGCAGAAAAGCAATTCTCCTAACAGCTAGTGGACGTGCAGATTTTTTTGGTTATTGGGAGCCTGACGTTTCCTGAGGCATCACAAGTTAAGTGTGTCAAGAGTTGATGGATTTATTTAAGGAATATCACAACCCCAAATTTCCTCCAATTCTGAGAATCTATTGGTTTTACTCAGCAATTTGATAACTAAGGGAATCTATGTTGGACTTTTTGATGAGATTAAGGTGACTGGCAGAGGCATGTGACTTTGATTTAACCCTTAATGAGATGCTGAGAGATTGTTTGGTATATGGGATTACTGATGGAACCATGCAAAAGTCCCTACTAGCTGAAGCCCAGTTGGACTTCAAACAGGCACTACAACTGGGTTTTTCATTAGGAAATGCAGCAAGTGGAGCATATGAGTTACAGGGTATGCCGATGGAAGTGGATACCCTCACCAGGCTGACTGAGCTTAGGGAATTCCACTTAAGTGAAAGCAGTTGCATAGTCTCACTCAGGACATATCCCGAACAGAGGGGCTGTAGGTCAGCCCACAGCAAAACTCCAAAACAAAGCCAAGTCTCGGCCAAATGGTTAAGCCTTTCTTCAGGAAAGGAACTGGCAAGCCATTGTGGTTGCTGCTCGTATGTAGATTCGAGACAACAAAAGAGTCCCACTAGACCTAAATGAATAAGATAACTCATGGGCCAGTATCCAGGAGAGTGCATACCCTGGAAAGTCCACCAATATCTGGTTTGGAACAGTTAAATTGCCCATTCAGTTACCACTAATTGTGGTGAAAGGCTGGGGTCCAAGCCTAATGGGGTAATATTGGTTGAGAAAGATTCACCTAGATTGACTCAACATTTTTTAATTAGAAAATGGCTGCCTGAGTGAAGTGCTAATTAAATACCTGGAAGCTTTTCAGGAAAGTCCAGGGACTATCAAAGGAGCCAAAGACACCTTGTACATTGACCAGGAAGCAGTTCCACGATTCTGCAATGCCCTCCCAGTGCCATTTGCCTTACATGCAAAGTGCAGGCAGAAATCAGGAGGCTGGAAAGAGAAGGAATCATTAAACTAGTAGTTTGCAGAATGAGCAGCACCGGCTGTACCGATTGTGA